ATATAAAGTAGTGATGCACTGAACTGGACAATCGAGACGAAAAAAATACCTTGATTGACCTGTTAGTCACATGATAGTCACATGCTAGAAGTGTTAAAGTCACAGTTTCAGTATATATCAACAACATATTCAAAATATATTATTCATATATTAACAACAATATTCAAAATATGTTATTAATATATCAACAGCATATTTGAAATATATTAACAATGTATTCAAATTATTCACTATATCATTAATTTAAGTACATATTCGAAAATATTGTAAATTTATTTTATTCATATTACAAAAATATTTACTACATTATATTAGTTTAAGTTTAAATTTCAACATATATTAAAAATATTATAACATTATTTTATTAATATTACAAACATATTACGTATATTAAAATATGTAGAACATATTTATACTATCTGTTAGTAACATGTAGTGATTATGTATAACATATTTTGTGAAAACCAGAGGTTTCTGCAAAGTATATCAGAAATATCTGAATATTATAATTAAAACTACTATAATTTTACAAGTATTTGAATTAGTATACTTGACATTTTTTATAAATATTAGTTTATTTAAATGTGAATTTTTTTTAAAAAAAATAGAATATTAATTTGTTTTGTTTTTATTTATATAAAAAGCTGAATATTCAGTATAATTAATAAAATTTGCTATTATATATTAATTTATTAATATATATTTTAAAATTAATTCACAAAAAATTATAAATAAAAATGTATATTTTAAATTACTATATAACACAATTATTAGCAAATTAAATATTTAGTTGATTAGAAATTGGATAAAATATATGAAGCAAATGCTTTTATTTAAGAAGAATTAAGAAAATTACTAATTATTTTACAATGCAATTAGATTTACCAAGAAGACTTATACAATGCATATTTTAAACAATACTTTTGAGTTAACTCTTTAAAATAAAGAGTATTATAATCTAAAAATCCAATAATTTAAAAAAAAGAGTAGTGGTATTAATATTATATTTTATACAACCAAATAATGCTTCACTTAAAAATTTACCCTTCTGACTAACTGGGATCTTAAATAAAAAAATAACAGGAAAGATTTCAGACTGTACTCAAAGGAGTTCCTGTCTCTGTCAGCGTAGAAAATCCATTATAACATCAGGAAATTTTTTTGGGGTGCAGAACTGCGGAGATCTGTAAAATTAGCAGATCTCCGCTTTTTTTTTGTCATTTTTTGTGTATTTCTGCGAAGTTCTGCAAACTTTGCAACTTCGCAGATAATTGAATATTTTTATCTATAAAATCAGCAAAATTCTGCAATTTTGCAGAATTTCATTTAACAGAAAATTTAAATCATGCCGGTTTTGCGAAGTTCTGCGAAATAGCAGATCTTCGCTTTTTGCCCTTTTTTTTGCGAAACTCTGCGAAATTTTTTAACTCAAAATTGCGGGTTTATAATTGCGTTTAAACTTTGAGTAACTAACTAATTAAACTTTTCGATTTCAATTAGTAATTAAGCTTAATTAAGCTTTTCGATCATTTCCATTGACAATTTATTTTTGCTAAAGTTTTTTTAATAGTTTTTTTTAATACTTTCGTTAAAGTTTTTCAACAAATTTACAAATTTTATTTTTTAAACTTTCTGACTTTACTTTCGTTAAAGTTTTCCAGTAATTTTTAAAACATGTATTTATTTAACAAATAACGATTTACTTTGCCAAACCTTGGAACTATATGAACTTCTTGGTTAATTGAACCGATTGGTATTGTGTTGTATTCTTTGGTGTAATACAACTGCGGACACCTGTACAGTTCGGGTTCCTCCATAATAATATCAAACTAACGAACCAGAGCAAGTTCATATGGCTCTTTGAAAGAACCTCAAAAGAATTTAAATAATAACAACACCTTATAAAGAAAATTGATTAATGACATACAACACTTTATCAATCTTAATCATTCACTTACTTTTCCATACCAAGCTCCCTCATTCGAATTGTATTGCTCTTGATCTTCTGCAGGAGTTACTGCAATATTACCGAACCATTCTTTACCTTGAAATTCTCCTGTCGTTCTTAAAATATGTCTATCTTTCAGGTGTACTGAATTATAAATTTTAATGTAAAATTCGTCACTTTCGGACTTTTGCGAAGATGTGTCCAGAAAGGTATCTAAAGTTAAAATTAATTGCGATAACCCTTCAATGAAGTTTGAATGTGGTGGATTTTCAGATTTTATCAACGATTTTATTTTTTGGTCGATATTATCTAATGTTAGTTCCCAAAGAACTTTTCCAAATCCTTTGGCTTTACGATGAATAACTTTTTTAGCAGAAGATGTCAATTCTTTGTGTTTTACCTATAAAAAATATTATTAAATGTATGTATATTTCAAAAAAATTGATTTCAGTCATATCGGATTCAACTAACAGCGTTAACCAATTGTCTCATTACGTCTTTTCTGTTTGATAACTGATATGGGGTTTTGACATATGATTTGTGAAGGGTTTCGTACGTTTCCGTTGACAACCCATTCAATGCACCATATTTTCTAATAGCAGGCACTGAAAACAATCAAAATAAATTAGGATAAAATCATATACTGTATGTTTACTAGCGTCCTACCTACCGCCAACTATGTAACTTTGGAAAATTGCAGTCAGTAGTGGACAATGGAGAGAAGATCTTTTTGAAATCAATGCACCAATCAATAATTGCTGACTATAATTGATAATCTTTAGTGTGTCGATGATTTTCAACGTGACTTTATGAACTTTGACTTCAAAAATTTTCAGATCTTCTTCAGTATACATTTCTTTTCTGCTCATTATTATGTACATCTTACTAAACTTTGCGTAAAGTTTGCAAAGTTCTTTACAGGTTATTTCGTTCCCTTCAAAAATTTCATCTAAGGCAAAAAGGGCAATTTTCATTATGTTATGATAGTCTGACGCAGTAAGTACGTTTAAATGTCCTAATTTATGTAAGAGTTTAAGACCTGGGAAGCGAGGAATCTGACGAAGTCGATCATCAAATTTTTTTTGTAGTTCTGTTCCTCCAACTGCCTTTGAAATATCTTGTGTAAATTCCAATTGGTATTTGAAGAGTCCAAGATCGATATGGTGCATACGGTCAGGAACGCAGGCTTCGTATATATTCAAATTTCTGAAACAAATTATACGTGCGTAAAAATTTACATCTTTGAAATTCATTACAGAAATATAAAGATATTTACGGAAATTTCCAGAAGGAATTTTAAACAGAATACACAGAATACTCCTTTCATTAGCCATCGTTGATTACTTACTTCATATTTTCATGAGTTCTATAAGGTACGTTCTCTAGTTTAAGACTCATATTGTTCAGATCACTTTGCAAAACCATGCAAGTATGGCATGGCATTTTGCACTGCGCTCCTTTATATGTTGCAGTTATATCATCAGCTTCAAGCATATCTGCGAGAAAAAAAGATATCCGTGCAGCGAAAGTAATCACTTGTCCATTAATTCCAAAATATAGCGCTTCAGATTTTTCTAATGAAGGTTGGAGCATAATTTTGAATCATTTATGATATACATCACACTGTAAGCTTTGAAAACTTTCTGTTGTTTTGATTCCTATATCTTGGACTTTAGGGAGAAATCCTAAAAGAATTTTAGCCTCTGGCAAATTTCGAACACGATTTGGAATGTTACCAAGAGTTAAAAAAACTGGATGGCCTGATGATTTCCCAAGTCCATCGAAAGTTGTTGCGTCTGAGTATAAAATGATGGACAATAGTCGATTTAATGATGGAAGGTTCTTTTTGGTTTCTAACCACCAGTTACCTTCGAAAGGTTCGCCAAATATTCTTGTTTCACCTCTATCATCCTGAGAATATAAACAACTAAATAAGCATAAATTATACTTTTCGTCAAAATGACAAAATACTAATTAAATTTATTTTGACAGACGTAATGTATTTTGACAGACGTAATTAATTCATAGTAATTTTATAATAAATAGTGAATTGGTCCGTTCGCCGAAATATGACGTAATTAATTAGCGGAGAAGTATAGCATAAATAATGTAATTTATCATTGCAGACGGAAATCAAATTATTATACAGACCTTCATTTTATTTTGGATTCCTTTATGGACGAAGTTATTGGCTACTTCAGGTCATTGCAGAAGAGCTTGAATAGCACGAAAAAGTGGGCGATAGTAGAGGTAAAATTAATTTCATTATAGGTCGCAACAACCTTTTCTTTAAAGTCTATCAAAGGTAAATTTATTTGATTAAGATAATCCTTGCCATTTTTCGTTGAACTTGGCAATGGTGATTTGTCTAAATTACTATGTTTGTTGAAAAACTTTATTATTTTATCACCTATCTTATTAGAGATATTACCCTCTACTATCAACTCCAAAAAGTCGCGATATGCATCATTCGGCC